AAATCTGACAGCTGTGGGACGAGCGGTTTAGAAATGACAGCAGTCTGAAGTTGGTTGCAGTTTTTTCATCTCACCTTGTATAGAAGATCGTTAAAAAATTTTATATATGTATGCACAAATTTTTATATATCAAATCAAATGATTATTCCTTTCAGCCCAATTTACAATAACAACATATGATTTTCACACAATTGCGACAAAAGTTATGAAAACTTTAGGACATTTTGTTGCAATAGTTATAGAGGATCCAACTTTTTGAGTGGCGTCACTTTGGACATAAAACTACATTTTTTGGAAAGAACTATAGTGTACTATTAGTAAAATCTTAAGAGGTGTTCTAGAGAGGCAACTATGCGCTATAGTAATTAATTAGGTGTCAATATCTTGCAGAATAAACGTGTTTCACACAGATACCAATTATGCTCCTTGGTCTAGAAGTTTGAACTAGATGATTAATGCAGAAAATTTTGAAAAGATCTGTAATTTTTTCTGAACTATTATATTTAATCCAAAAAAAAATTCAGAACTAACCTTAATTATTAGTCGATAGTAAAAACAATAAGGTTTTTACAGAAAACATACGGGCGAGGGACCACTTTGGACCCAACATTCGTGGAGTAATTTTCCAGTTGTGTAAATTATTGTCACAAAATTTCCTTTTAAATATAGTCATATTTTGGACAGCCTCATCGTGTCAATGTAATTTATTTCATATTAAGAATTAAACTTTTAGCAAAACATATTTTTTGTTTATTGGAATTTTAAGTTAATATTTCATTGAGCTAATTATTGAAAATTCATGCTGGTTTCTAATTACTTACTAATGGATTTTTAATTGAGTTATTGACCGATTTTTATGTTTCTGAGAAAAACTCATAAAATATTAACACAGTAAAATGAATACACAGAGTTGATTTTAACAGACTTTCATATTCGGAAATCGACAGATTTTTTCTCCTAAAAGGTTTTTTCAGATTTCAAGACATAATGACACAAAAAAAGCCTAAAATGATAATAAGAAATGTACTAGTCTTATTATATCTACTAAGTTTTTGTGTGTATTGTTATTCTGCTTCAGAGGTAAATATATTAAAAAAAGTAAATTAGAATACTTAAACTCGTAAAGTTTCCTTTAGGCTTATGGGAGAGTGATTTTCAAGAATATGTACTGCTCCGTACACAGCAAGAAAGTAAAATCATGTGAAGGCAATACTGGTTACAAGGATAATCAATCCACTTTAAATGTAATGATGGAGTATAATGTAGACATCGAGGACCCTCGCGCTACTATACAATTTACTTTAATGCAAAATGCCGAGCGTAACATGAACTTGTTCAGCGTCAACATAGACTTGTGTAAAGCAATAAAGACTATGCCCCGTCGAAGTGTGGCCCAAATCTTATGGAAACAGATGACTCAAGCCGCAGTGAACTTTCCCACAAAATGCCCCATAAAAAAAGTACTACAAATTGCTATTTAATCAACTTCATATTTTTTAATCGCAGTATATACTTCTAGAATATACCAGTTTCATTAAATGGCTTTTACATTGGAAGTAATCTCATACCGAGTTATGTACCATTGATCAATTTCTCTGGCAGTGCAATCTTATTCGACGGAAGTGAACCCCTTTATACTGTAGCAGCTATGGGTGTGATGTGCCGTGGTCAAAAGAACTGCCGTAGTCTTGAAAAATAAAACTGAAAATTATAAGTAAAATAGATGTATAGATTATATGGATGCATACGCAAACTGCATTTTTACTATATTATCTATTGAGTAGTTCGAAAAAAAGAATTAAGTTTAAGGGGTGATACGATATAAAACATAATGGCATATTCAAGAACTTAAATAGACACTAAAATAATCAAATATTTCATTCAAACCATGTGTTCTATTTATAATAATGGTGTCTAAGATTATATGTTAAAACTCTTCATTAACTGGTCCTTAAAAGTGTTACTCGAAGAATTTTACAATGTACCATTTATTTTTAAAATTTTAAAGATCGAAAAGTAGATCTTAGTGCTCAAAATAGGGAATGATATTTCTTATAATAAGCTTAATTAATTAGAAGAATAATTGAAATTACTTCATAAAGTTTCATAAAATTAGGAAAATAATTAAGAATCGGCTTACAAATTATAATCACCAACAGAACCAGCGATTCCTTTTTGGAGAATGAGACAGAGAAAAGAAATTCGATAAATCTGTTTTCGACACGTTGAACTAATATAATATTAAATAGTCGGAGAAGTACCTGTAAAAATTTATTTAAACTACGTTCAAGACTATTTTATATCAAAGAAATAAATTTATCTTTATTAATCTGCCAATTTCCATGTATTCTTTAATGTTTTCGTTTGAACTATCTAGTAAAAATACATATTATAATACTCTGATTTATTAGTGTTTGACACCAGCACAGAGGGAAGATTGTATGTGCTAGATTAATAGAGTATATATCAAGTTAGTCTCTACCTTAACAAGACACCAAACCAATTGGAATGCTCTTGCTTCATAAATTATTCTTCCCATATCTTATTAAATTGATATGGAACGTGCTTTTTAACGAAAGATACTAAATTTTTAATATAAACTATTGTTTTCAATAAAGAGATTTTTATCTAACAGTAATGAATTGCAACAAAAAAAATTTTTATTATTTTTAATTTATTAAATTTTTGGCTGACCATACAGCTATTTCGAGTTTACCAAATACTTATCTTCTGTGGTCTTGGAATTATTTTTTATATTTAATAAGCAGTAAATAAAATTTCTAAACTGCAAGTACCAGAGGTTAAACTCTTACCCTGCCAAATTTGAAGCTCAGACTCAGTGTTCATTAGCCAACTGACCCGTATCTGACTGTTATGTTCAAACTTGAAGTTTTGTTTGCTGTAAAACTTCATTAACAAATTTACTTGCTGTATTATATTATACTACATATATAACTAAATATATACAATTAAATAAAAAATAATTCCAGGACCACTGAAAATGAGTATTTGAAAATATTTGACACAGCCGTATATTCAGCCCAATTCCAATTAATCAAATAATTCAAAAATCAAATTCAGTTGTTGTAGTTCACTAATTTTGAAAACCTCTTTAACAAAGAGAAGCCTTTCTATATAAAGAGAAATCTTAAAAAAAGCTTTTCCTGAAAAAAAAATTGCTATCGAACTCAGTCGTTATATGTCCATATATATCTAATAAATATCGTTGCATATCTAATGATTGCTTCTACAAAATTCTCGATTACCATCTACTCTAATTGTATGACTCCCTCCCTAAATCTTCCATTCAATTTTTAAGTAGCCTAGAAACAATATCGAAAATAATCAGACAAAGTTAGGCAAATAAATATTTATGAGAAAATTGATTCCACACACCCTGCCAATATATAAAAAAGTTATCATATGAAGTAGGAAACTATTATATAAAACAGGTTAAGTATTCGTCTGGCTCTTTAAGATCTGTATGGAATTTTTCGCAGATTAAATAACGTAATTCTCAAACTGAATTACTGGACTGATAAAGAGAAGTTGCAGACATGGGGTAAATTAAAAATTGAAAGTTTCATCGATATAAGACCCAAAATATTATAACAAGTATTTTATATATTTTATACTTGATTTGTATTGTAATTATGTTCCAAAACAGTCAAACTGAGTTCTTAAAATTGTTATCAATCAAAATTGACTGAACAAAATCTTGGAATCAATTGCTACGTTACATCAAATTATATTACATTACATTAGATTACATTATATTAAACCCATTATTCAACCAAATATATTACATAACGCCTATATTTATATACTAGTACATATCAATTTAAAAGAAACTGGTGTTGTTTTCTGCTTTTATAGAGCTGTGAAACAGCACTTTTTCTTCTGTTTTTCAACAAATGACTTAATAACTCAACAAATAGTTTTATTTAAGTCGTACCACATTATGTAAGGTCTAAAGAAATTTGTACTAAAGAAATTCATACGATGTTCTATTTGTTGTTTCCAGTTTTAAAAAATATATTGACGCGTCAACTACAATCAGCATGAAAAAAAAGTAAAATTGGCATATCCACATATCCGAAGGAAATCAGGCTGTCCTATAAAGAATAAAGTATTATAATTAAGTCATGTTTCATTTTTAACGATAGATGGCGCTCCCCGGGCGTATCGAACAATATGGTATAATAACAATATTTAGATAGAATTATATCTAAACATGATGTAATGCACGCTTGTTGAAAACAAATTATTAAAATTGTCTTGCGTGCATTTAATTATACTACATAATTATGTATTTTTAAAAAACATTAAATATAAATTACAAATATAATTGATATATTTTTCAAAATTAGTTTTTCAACAAAAAGTGAATTTAAAACTTATTTATTAAATAAAAATCAAACATGAATAAACTTAATATTCTGCTACACTTTTTTTGGTTACATGGACTGTTATTTTTCTATAACATCGCAGCTGAGGTCAGAAAGATATTATATGGAGAAAATGTTTAGTTGCTTTAATTTATATATGTTTATTAGAATACTGGCCAAATAGTGTTCAGGTATCTTGACTGTGCAATCACTAGTAGCAAACTAGTCCGAAAATGTGAAGGTGGCATAACTAAGGTGGACAATGTCACTGCATTAAACATGGAGATAGAATTCAGTGAGGACTTGACAACTCCATCGGCTATTACAAGTTTCAATTTAGAACAAAATGGCGGTCGAAATTTTAATATTTTTAATATTAAATTCGATTTATGTAAGATTTTCAAACAACTTCCGAAACGCGGTATATTGCAATCGTTCTGGAAACGAGTGATCGCAGCCTCAGATAATTTGCCAAAGAAATGTCCAATCAAGAAGGTATACCCTACATAAACTGTTGGTTAACTATTGATGTAAAACATTTTATTTTGCAGGATATTGTATATAAATTTAAGAATATGTATGTTGGCACTGACATTGTGCCAAGTTACTTGCCTTTGATCAACTTCTCGAGTAAAACTGACATTTTTCAAGGCAGCGAGAGTATCATCACTGTAACCACTATGGGTATGATGTGTAGAGAGCAGTACTTTTGTAAACATTTTACTGATATGGTTAAGACATAATTTGCATTATTCACTTGGAGATGTAAAATATATAAAGAATTTTTTTGGAAATATTGCAATCAATGTAGTTTTTACTGCTAAATAAATTTAACTATCAGAAAGTTTTGTATTTATTATTTTTTTATTTCTAATTTTAATCTAATATCTGTGCACTAAAAAGAGTTCAATAAACAATTTTATTTCAATTTTGTTATATAAATACAATTAAATAAAGTTTTTAATTTTTATTTATGTTATTATTTCTTAATTACAAATAATTTATATATACCTTTGTGCTACTGATTACTTTGTAAATGGATTTTTAATTTGTTTTTGAGTGATACCTACTTTTCCACATAATTTAAAATAATAGCACAGCAGATTGAATAGACCTGCTTCATCCGAAATAAAACATTTTACCTCTCCGAAAGGTCGTTTTCAAAGGATTTTAGATATGACTAAACTCTCACTGCCTAAGTTAGTACTGAACAATGTTCTAATTTTAATATATATTATAAATTTTACATTTTATGTAAACTCTGCAGCTGAGGTAAGCATTTTTTATTAATTAAAATTTAAAAATAAATATTTAATTTCTTTTTGCCCAGAGCTATGGAAAAATAATTTTCAAAAATATGCACTGCTCCATTCATAGTAAAAAAGTGAAATCATGTGATGGTTATACAAGCTACAAAGATGACCGATCCGTCTTAAATTTAATGATGGAATTCAATGTTGACATTATGGATCCTCATACAACTATACAATTTACTCTAGAACAAAATGCTCAACGTAATATGAACCTATTCTCAATCAACGTAGAATTGTGTAAGGTCATGAAAAGTATACCTCGACGCAGTGTCTTACAAATATTGTGGAAGCAAATCCTTCAAGCTGGCATCAATTTGCCAAATAAATGTCCCATAAAAGAGGTTATATAAATTTTAGAATCCCTTAATTACTTTATTTGTTACATCACTACTTTCAGAACATACCCATTGGCTTGAACGGTTTTTATATTGGAGGTGACCTAGTTCCAAGTTATGTACCATTGATAAATTTTTCCGCCAGTGGTATGGTGTTGGATGGAACTCAACCATTATTAACTGTGACTACTGTGGGTATAATGTGTCGTGGGGAAAAGAACTGTCGGAACCTTCAATGAATATATACTATTAAAGCAGTATTTCAAAATAAATAAATAAATTCATGTATTAATGTAGAAAATATTTTTATAGACATTTCAAATTAGTACAACTAATTTTTTTGCAAGTTTTTTGTGCAATTTTTTGAATTCATTTTCCCTTCCTTAAATACATATATATCATATATTTGGACCTATTTTATTTAAACGGTCTTAACGTTGTGTAATGTTAGTATCGGCAGGATCGCCATGTAATGGATAATGGCAGGATTGCCATGTAATGTATTATGTATATATATATGAATGAAATTTCGCAGGATTAAAAAAAAGATCCTTGAGTATTATCTTAGCTCTCCAGCCGCTTGTTCTATTCTTTCAGCAGTTATGCTGTATAGAATAGTGTTTTCATCAGATATTATGCCGTACATCTTCAAAACAAGCGGAAAACAGAGAGCAATAGTCTTCCAATGGAAAGTGATATAAGGTAAAGAAAAAATAAAACTTTTTAATTTATTTTTCGAGCTATTTATATAAAATGGTTTTTTATATGTTTTTAATCCTGCTGTAGGTCTCTTCTTGTTAAATAATTTAACATTTAATATTTTTTATTATACTCTATATTTCGACTCTTCTTCAGAGTCATTATCAGGATTAAGATTACAAGTTAATATGAAAGTAATAGTAAAGCAGAAATAGTTGGAAAAGAATACTCGGACATTGCGAAATATCACTTAAACTGAATACTAAATAATCAAGAATATGGTTCACTAAAATTTTAAATAATAGGGGAAAGAGAAAAACTTTTAAAATATGATTATGAAGAAACTTTGTTCTTTGCTCCACTTTCTGCTCTTGTCAAGCTCGGAGATATAAGTATAATGGATTGAATAGTCCACCGAAGGGCGTATTATGCCATATACTTAGGATGACAGTAATAACATCGTAAAAAGCAGAATAAAAAAAACTACGCCAATTCAGTTGACCATAAGTGTCAACCAATTAACTAACTTACGAACAGAAACTGATGAAGAAGTCAACTTATCTTAAACTTTCATTCTCATAACGGTATTCTGGTATAAAACCTTAGAATGCTTTTATGATCCATAGATAACGTATGATAAGGTCCTTTATAGGATTGAAATTCTTCAGTGAGTACGGTTATCACTATTTTCTTTTAACTCAAGAAAATAAAAACAAAATATTTGTTGTGATATACCCATATACAAAAAAGAATAACAGAGCAACCGAGTCGTTCACCATCCAATTCAATCAACGAATTGACGGTACGCTGTCTTACTGACTGACATGGTTAATAATTAAAGGCACCTTTCAATGACTGCTGTCGTTGCTATCTTTAGAAAGGGGAAGAGAAAAATGTTATAAATATAGGATCTGATGAATATTAAAATAATCTGTTGATTCGCTGGTTTGAAATAAATCTTCTTGAAACAGTTAACGTGCCCCAAATTGTAATAACTCAATAAGTCAAATATCTTGATTAGTTAAGTCGCATTTTTTCAAAGGGTGTCTGCTTTTCACCCTTGAAGCGATTTTTTAGGTCTAGCATATGGATAGTGTCTCATCTTTGAATTACACCAGACCATAATTTATGTTTGAGTAAGTTTTTGGGCTACCACTCTTTTCTAGACTAACAGAATAGAGTCTAGCTATTAAGTTAAGCTGCATATTTTTGCTAGGCGAGTTGACATTATTTTGTATGTTCTTTCATTGCAAGTATTGCTTTATGTATCTCAGTAACTGTTTGTATTGTATCTGCGACCTTTAAATCACCCTGTATAGTTATTAAAATAACTAATTATAATTGGGCTACTATTAAAAATTTATTATGAGATTGATTTAAACGTTTATTTTAGTTTTGTTTTGTTGTTTGTTAAATACATCAGTGGTTAATGTAAATAATATAAAATTGTTTTTTAAAACTATACGTAATTAGTAATTATTTGAAATCATTTCTGAGCACTGACGAAAAAATGTGGCGAATGAAGCTACAAATAATATTTGAGCTTATCATATTAATCGAAATTGTGTTTAGTTTAAAAGTATACAATTTTTTTTTTACATTTTAAAACTTCTGCATATAATATAGATTCTTCTCTCAGACCCAGAGTAAAATAACAATGACCGACTCCAATTGTACCATCCACAGCAAGAAAGTTAAAATGTGTGAAGCTATTTTGGGTTACAAAGGTGATGTTTCCACTCTAAGTTTAATGCTGGAGTTCTCTGAGGAACTTATTAAGCCAGAAACAAACTTGGACTTTATTCTATTGACGACTGGTCGAAGAAATTTAAAACTTTTCAACATGAGACTGGATATGTGCAAGTTCTTTGCAAGCATCCCAAAGCGCAGTGTTGTGCATATGTATTGGAAACGCATCATGGAAGCTGCAGAAAATGCACCTAAGAAGTGTCCAATAAAAAAGGTATTGATTAAATCGAATGCTAATAAATATTACAGATCTATCATATACATATGTCTAATGATTTCTTACAGAATACACAATTCATGTTCAAGGATTTCAGTATAAGCACAGAATTCGTACCAAGTTTTGTCTCATCAATTAACTTCAGTAGCACTGCCGTTGTCTTTGAAGGGCCCCAAAAGATTCTAACGCTCGCGTCGTTTGGCGTTATGTGCAGGGGCCCAAACTGCGACAAATACCATTGAATCTAAAATGTCACATAAGATGGTGGATGTGGTGCACTCGCGGAAACTAGGAAAACCAAGCTTAATTAATTACTTATGATGAATAATGAATAATTTTGTGCGTGTGTCACTGTAGCGATTAGTTTCAGTTTCCGTGTCAGAATCACTACACACTCGTTATCGTGTATATCTAAGCTGCTAGAACTAGTTTACAGATCATTAGTCATATAAAGGGAAATAAATACAGAAGAATAAAACAAACTACAAATAACAATGAAAAATGAAAAATGTGAAAAATATGATAAAAAAAAATAAATGAAAAATATTCAAAATGAAATGAAGAAGCGTGTGGTAATCATGCTCGCACTGCAGTTGCAGTGGCGAGCATGGCACAATTCAATGAATCTGGTCCTGCCCGGCGGTTC